GCAGGGTCGTAACTGAGTTTTAATGAGAAAATACGCTTAAAGCCCTTAGTGTGGTGCCTGGCACAGAGTAGGTGTTCAGTAAATGGCGGCTGCTACAGTTTCACAAGCTCTTTGAAGCTTCTTCCATAGCCTCTTGGGACAGCCTATAGGAGTTAAATCCAGAGACTGGGGAGGAGGGAGAGGGATGAGGAAGGGTGTCTGTGGGGCACGGGATGACATGGGGCAGCCAGCCCTGGATGGTGTCCAGCCAGGCAGCAGCCCAGGTTACCAGCCTGCTCCATCCCAGACTTGCCCAGCTCTGGGGAGACCTGAGTCAGACTCTGCCCCTTCCTGCTCCCATGGGTCTCTGTGGCTGGCACTGGTAGAAGAGACTTCTAGTCAGAGGGAAAACCTGGCAGAGGGCTCACAAGTCTCAGGGGTGTTGGAAAAGCATCCCCCCGTTTAGGTTATGTCTCCTTCTTCATTCCTACCCTGCCAGGCTCCAGGAAAAGGCCTTCCCACTGAGAAATGGCAAGTATAAAACCAAGGCTAGGAGTAGCATCCTTTCTGCAAATGAAGGTGTCCAACAGTCCTCAGCCTGCATGGACTGGGGTGGAAGGGCACTTTGCAAGGAGAGGGAAGGGGTTGTATAGGGTACAGTGAGGTGCATCAGGGCCACAGGGCATAGAGTCTGTGTCAGCCAAGCCCACTACACCTCTGCCTAGAGGTGTTCTGAGCCCCTGGTCACCTCCCAGCTGCCCTGCCGTAGACAGGCAGGTCCAGCTCACTCCATCCTGGGTTCCTTGAACAACCAGTATCAGGCCCAAGCCTGTGTGGGCAGAATGCAACAGATTGAGCTGACTCCTAGCCCAACAAAATGGCCCAATTTCTCCTCCCTGTCCCCCACCCCCTCCATTCTGTTGGTGGGGCTGATTTCCATGTATTGGGCAGCAGAGCATCTGCCTAATGTTCTTATTTGCTTAAATGAGCCCTGGGCTGGGAGAGGGGATTCTTGAAAGATGGAGATTCACCTTGATTGTTCCCTCAGCTTCCCTGGTGATTTTCCTCCTTCTCTAGCCCCTCTCCTCTGAGGCACAGAACTGGCTGGCCTGCAGGAGGCAGGGAAGTGGCCTGGTTGTGTCTGTGGGGCCCATCACCATGGCATCAGCCAGGAGGAGCTGGGCCCAATGGGGCGTTGGCCCCCAGATGCCCACAGCCCTCCCCAAGGAGGGGCAGGGAGCGGCCCTGAGCCTGCTCCCCAGAGACAGTCACCAGGATTAGGGTATCGACTTTCTCCAGCTTTCCAGGTGGCTGCTGGTGGCGCCTATTGAATTCCGTGCCCGCCATCCGCTCCCTGGGCTGCTGCGTGGGTGGAGGTGATGGGGCGGCTACTTGGGTGGGGCTAGGCTCACTGGGGGAGGGGAGCCTGAGGACCTGTGTGGGGTGGGGAACATGAGAAAGGGCTGGTGGCAGCTCTCCCAGCAGCCACATTGTCTGAAAGTGAGAGTCGTGGACCTGTCCAGCCCTCAGCCACCCTAGCCCAGCTGCATTGCCCATGGCCACCATTGTCTCATGTTCCCTCCCTCATGCATCTGGGTCTCTGCCCCTCTCTTTTCTGAGCAGATCCTGAGTTTCCTTTGGGTTGGGTCTTCTTGATTATCATCTCGTCACTAGGGGTCCCAGCTTGCCCTCTGGAATATAATTACTGGGACCCTCTGAGCATACTCTGAGGCCACACTGCTCCTGAAGTCTACTCCTTCCTCCATGCTTTGGAGCCCTCTGGAGCTAGAACCATGGCACAAGACCCTTCCTGTGCTCTGGGGGCCACTTGCAGAGCCCGAGATGGCCTGGACTTAGCCCCCGTGTACCCTCTTTCCTCAGAGGCAGAACCTAAGCCCTGCCCCAGTGAGGTTCATGAGGATCCAGGAGCAGTGATGGGTGAGCCCCACAGGTGCCTCACCCCTCCGAATCTCCTCTCTGTGCTGGGCCTGGAGACCACACCCAAGCTCAGCAAATCCCTGGGGTGCTGCCCCCAGGGGACTCCTTCTACCAGCACCAGTTGCCACTCAGCTGATGTTGGGCCTGCTTGATGCTGACTCAGCAGTGGGCAGTGGCACCTGGAGACAGTTGGGTGGCTCCTGCTGGGGGAGGGGTGAAGAAAAACAAGGTTGGTCTCCTTGGAAGAGTGGGAAGTCCCCACCCCTCCCTGTGTGAAACAGCTTCATAGGGCTCTGTGATGCTTTGAAGGCTTCCCATCACCCTGTGTAGCTACCACGGGGTCACCCAGAGGGCAATGGAGCAGTGGATACCTGAGCCCTTCAGGCCAGGTCCCCTGCTTCTCCCAATCCTCATGGCTTGGTACCTCCAAAGGGGAGCAAGACTCAAAGCAGACCCTCTAGCTTTGGTGACACATGTCACTAGGCAAGGAGTTCTGGGGTGAAACTTGCTGAGGACCAATAAGGGAAGCTGGCAGCACAGAGGTCTGGGCTGGAGGCTGGGCTCCCAAGGGCAGCCAGTACAGTCCTGCCTGCCAGGGGGGCCGCCTGCCCCCAGCCCAGGCCTTGCTTTATCCTTTGGCTCAGGCTGTAGCTCCGGCTGCAGGAGGCCCTGAGCCCCCGGAAGGAAGGCTGTGGTTTCTTCATCTTTGAGCAGAGGCTGCAGCCAATGCTGGGGAGAGAACTGATCTCCCCACCACCTAACTCCTGTGGGGCTACAGCCCCACTTGGGATGCACATTCCAGACCAGGATCCTTAAGGACCAACCAGCAGTATGTTAGAAGGAATGCAGGTTCCAAGTCATAGACACGGGCCAGAGCCTGGGCTGTGTGATGTTGGGCAGTGAGTTTAATATCTCTGTGCCTTGATTTCCCCATCTCAAAAACAGAGTTGACAAGTCCTGGCCAGGTTGCTATGGGAAAGTTCTCTGGAGTAAGGGTACTGTGGGGGGAAATGGAGGAACACGGCATTGGCGCTGCCCTCTGCCTGTCCCCAAGATCTACCCTCCCCATTTTCTCATGCGGAAGGCCCAGCTTGTGTGGCATAGTCTAGCTGAGGAAAGCTGAGCCTATCCTGGTGGTGGCAACTGGTCAGACCTGTTCCTGCTCACCTAGGCGGCCTGGGGGAGGGCTGGCTAGGAGCTTTGTGGAGGGATTAGCTGGAGGGGAGAAGAGCCTCACCCTGGGACAAGATCCCGGAGGGCTGTGGGAGCTCCAAGGCTGTGGGGAAGGGCAGGCAAGATGAGCATGGGGCAGGTGACAGCATGGAGAAGTGACCTGGGAGTGGGCCTTCAGTGAGGCATGGCCTCTGGGGGCAAGGAGAACTTGGCTTTGACACCCCAGCTTCTGGGCTCCTGGGCTCCTGAGCCCCTGTGAGCCACTCACTTGTCTTGGTGGTTATGGCCAGGAGAGGCCTGAGCCTGAATTTGGGAACTTGGTGCCAGGCATGGCCCACTGTCACCCCTCCTAACTGTCTTGGCCTCCCCACACTCCCCACCAACATCCTGAAACATAGGCAAGAACTTCCCAAGCACTTAAAAGAAGGCAAAACCACCCTTGGGCCACCCCCAGAGAGCCAAGGGCAGATTGAGTCTCCTGCACGTGGTAGCTGCCTCCTAGGGCTGGCAAGTTGGGGCACGGGCCCCTTTGCCTTCCTCTGTGCTCCTTCTCACCTGCCCTTGCCTTCTCTCCCAGCTGGGGATTTGGACTTCAGAGCAGCCTGGCACCGCACCCTCCCCAGAATCTCCCTTCTCAGCTTAGTGTGACTGTTCATTACTGTCAACAATGGTAAAGTCTAGGCAGGCACAGGGAATGACAGGGAGAAAGTGTCTCTCTACATATGTTAATTATCTCATTGGGCCTCACAGCAACCCTGAGAGGCAGGTAGTAGCAAGAATGGTCTAGAAATGAGGAACCTAAGGCTCTGAGAAGGAAATGGACTGCCCTGGTCACACAGCTAGTGAGCAGGGTGGCTGGAACCTGGCTTAGGGCCTTGTCCATTGGTCATCACCTGATGTGCTGGGTGACAGAGCTGCAGGCTGGACAGCAGCCAGCTTCTCTCTGCCAGGCCTGGGCGGAGGGGGAGAGGGAGCCTCAAGAGTCCTTAGGCTCAGGCACTGGCCACTCACACCCTTATTCCTTCCATCGTGCTGTGCCCCAGAGCTGCTGCTTCAGTTGGACCCAGCTCACAGAAAACCTCTTTCAGGTTTGAGTGTCTGAGTGCCCAAAAGAAACCTGCCCCTTTCATAGGTCACACTCTCCAGCCCATGACCACACTGCTTCCTTTAGTCCATCCCTACTTTTCAAAGCCCCCTCCCCATGGAGGTTTCTTGGGGCATTAACAGGGTCTCTGGTGTCCAGTTGCCACCTTTATCCTCAGCTGTACCTGGAGCTCTTGAGGATCCCCCTGCCTAGTCCAAGACTCCTTACTATGCTGCCCACTGGGTTTCTGGTTGTCTGGATTCTTCCAGCTCCCTTTTGGCTAGGCCATTTGGCTTGGTGGGGGTGGGGGTGAGAAGAGGTTTTACTGTAAACATGCCGACTAGCTTCCAGTAAACACTGGTCTCTGTCTCCCTTGCTGCAGAGAACAAGTGCTAGGGTCCCAAGGTGTCCAACCAGGTGCACAGGGGTGCTATATACTCCCCTGTCAGGAAGGCCAGACCCAGCTGTTGATGGGGGGGGATGAGGTCTCAATCAAAAAGCATATGATTGACCTTAGAACGTTAAAAGGCAAAGGGACTCAACAGCTAACCTGATCCCAGCCCTCATTTACCAGAGGAGGAAATTGAGGTGGACAAGGGCAGTGTCCTGCCCGGGGTCACCAAAGAGGTCCCCTCCTTTTGATACAATGCTAGATGTTACACAGGTCTTCTGAGTCCTGGGCCAGAATTCTCTTGCATTGCCAAGTAGGATGTAAGCAGATTTTCTTCCTTGTTGGGAGAGGTAGGTCAGGCAGAGGGTAGGGAAGGGAGGACCTGGGACATTGTAGGAGGGACATTGTAGGACAAATCCTCCTTTATCCCTACAGCGTGAGCTTCGGCCTCGGCTTTGTACCATGAAGAGGGGCGCCAATGGCTATGGCTTCAATCTGCACAGTGATAAGTCCAAGCCTGGCCAGTTCATCCGCGCGGTGGACCCAGACTCACCAGCTGAGGCTTCAGGGCTCCAAGCCCAGGACCGCATCATAGAGGTGAATGATGCTTCTTGACCACTTCCCCAGCCTCCTCCCCCTGACTACCTCCCTGCAAGTAAGCAATGACTGGGGAAGCCACTGCGCCATTATACTGGTCCATTAGCCCATGGGGTGCAGCCACTCTGGAGATGGATGGATGGGTGTGGCAAGAAAGGTGGGTAGTGAGTGGATGGATAGACTCTTCTCTTACCTCCAACTCTTCCCCTGGCCAGGCACACTCAGCAGCCCATGATTCACCCTCAGTCCAGGGAGTACCCCTAGACTTCCCTGCTGCCAGGCACAGGAGTGAGGGTGTTTGTGATAAAACCCCTCTCCCGAGTCAGGATTTTAAATAAGCTCATTCCGTCCTCCTGTGCTGTGTTCACCGGAGAGGCAGTATGAACCAAACGCTTGGGCAGGTCCCAGAATCACAGTGTCTTAGAACCTTAGAGCTGGAGATCAGTTCTCCCAAGACTTCTCAATTTACACGTGAGAAAACCAAGGCCCAGACGGAAGTCAGACAGCAAGTACAGAGAAAGGCTGGGGCCCCACCCAGGCCTCCTTTGGAGACTCTCCCATGCCATCTCTCACAGCTGTGTTTGTTTAGTCTTGTCTGGATATTTTCTTTGGCTCCCCCCCCCCATCCTGCCTCCCCAGCTGACTGTCAAGCAGGAGGACCATGGGCCTAGTTCAGGACCCTACAGACAAGGGGGATCAGTATCCCTGGGTTGCAAACTTGCAGAGAACAAAGAGGATCATTTGGCCCTTCCCCACCTACCAACCTACCTACCCCAGACCTGAGGCTGTGCTGGTGACCCCCTGCCTCTATCCCACAGGTGAACGGGGTCTGCATGGAAGGCAAGCAGCATGGGGAAGTGGTGTCTGCCATCAAGGCTGGTGGAGATGAGGCCAAGCTGCTGGTGGTAGACAGGGAAACTGATGAATTCTTCAAGAAATGCAAAGTGATCCCATCTCAGGAGCACCTGAGTGGTAAGCAGGGGACAGGGGCAGCTCATTGTCCCAGGGGTGTGGGCCAGTGCTCAAGACTTTGCTCTGCCTCAGGTAAGGGTTAAGATGCTCCCTTCTCCTTCAGGGGCACCCAGAGGTATGGGCTGGGGAGCATAGGGCCTAGGGTGGGGAGAGGAAGTAGGCATTGGCCACCAGATTCTGAGGATGGCAAGTGACAGGGGTGAGCTGGTGTGAGGGATGGGGAGAGAGACAGAGCTGCTGATCCCAGGCCAGAGCTGTTCACCAGCAGTAGGTTCTCAGGGCAGTGCCGACGTGAGGAAAGGGTTAACTCTGGGGAGGCCTTGAGCCTTTGCTTGGTCAGATCAGAGTCCAGTAACAGGGGCCCAGTGCCTTCCTGTTCCCTTCTCTTAGGTTGTCTTGGAAACTCAGCCTCGCTGGCTCTAGAGAGTAGTGGGTCCCCCTTCTGTCACTGGGCCCCTGCCCTCCCCTTCTCCTGCTATCACACCTCCCCCTGGCCAGGCCTGAACCAAACAGGGCAGGGCTGCTGCCCTAGAACAGGGAGGGGTTAAGCAGCACTCTGCTCCCTGGTTTGGACTTTCTCCCTGGGAAGATGGCTCCCTGAAGGGGGTGGGGGTGCTCACTGGGGCATTCTGAGGGTGGAACATCTTGGGACTTTGCAGTGGGTGGGGCCTCCCTGAGAGTCTACACAAAGTACAGACTCAGCTGGACATGCTCAATGGGGAGGCTACCGGGCCCCATCTAGGGACTTTGGGGCTCCTAGAAAGGAAGATAGCTCCTT